AAAACTATAAATATATATAAAATACATAATACATCTAGAATTAAGAACAAAACTAAAAAAGGAAAATCCAAGAAGTTGTCCCAGGTTTCTGTCCTATTTTCACACCATTGTTGATTATTGGATGGGAATCTGGAATTTCACAATTGCAAACTCTCATGTGATTATCATTTCATTGAAAGAGAATGAAGGAAATCTATTTTCTTTTGTTTCTGATTATTCAAAAGGAATTACAACCATTCCTTTATTTTGCATTATGGTATTCTATGTCAGTTTTTCCCAACTCAGTGTCCTTCAGATATGTTGGAACATGACTATTGCCTTATTTATTGCAATTTGCCTTATTTATTGTATACCTCCTTGTGCTCAGTATATAAATCTAGTCACTGTGGCTTGTAAAGCATTATGGCTTAGTTTGTTTGAACCAGGCCATTAGGGCTTGTTTAACACAATATGCTTGGAAGTAATGTGGGAATCCATCTGTCTTCTAAGTTTAACAGATGAGTTGGCTTCCCTCATGCCTGCAGAGCCCCATCAGCCCTCACATTGTGGATTGCCCATAGATTCTTCCCTCCCCTTCTGACTCTACTAGCAGAGGTGGCCCTGACAGAAGCTCATGTTCCCTCTGGCATCACTCTCAGGATCATTGAAGCTACTGAGCTACCACATCAGTATAATCATCCCCTGGGAGGACTAATCCCCTGAGATTAATTCTTACAATTTTTACAATTCTGCCCATTGCTGCAATTGTGGATTTTTCTTCTTCTTCTTCTCAGAATACTGAACTTGTAGAAAGGCTAAAAGCTCATCATGGAGAATCTTCACTGAAAATGGCTTGCAATAAAGAAGAAACAAACAAGTCAGAAGAGAGTTCTCACAATTTTGGGGTTAGTAGTTCTGGATTTAGGTTGATGGGATTTCAGGAGTGGATATTACTAGAAAGAAGAAATGATTAGAAAGGAAGTTGATAGAGACACTGATTCTATTGAGAAGGACAGCACCTGGCAACTCTAAGTGAGGAAAAAAATCAGTATTTTAGTAATGGAGGCAGACTTCTAGCTGTAGGTTTGGAAAAACATTGTCACTTAGAATTGGTGGCATTTCCTTACATGGATTAGTCATCTGCCTTAGCATAAGGAAGCTTCACGTACTGCTTTTCGAGATATCCAAAATAGGCCTTTCCATGAATACATATTGATACATTTGCCATGACTGCTTCTGAATATAAAAGTTTCATTTCGCTCTCTTACTAATAATAGCAGAAATTGGGACTGTGCAATAAAAAAGGAGCCTGTTGCCTTGGTGTCCAGTTTTTGAACATTGCAGATGTATATACTTACCCCCTTTAGGAAGATGTGCTAAATGAACCCTTGCCTTCAATTTAGCAGGACTCTACTTTAGACTATTCCTGATTCTTGTTTTGTGTGGTGACAAATGTAAATGTGGGTTGCTTTCGGAATTAAGGAAGTCCTACCAAAAGTGAAAGGAAAATACCTAGGTAAATGGGGCTGTCAAAATCCTTTTCTTTCTGTGATCCAAAATGGCATATAGTAGTCTGTTTCCATTATTGGCATAGTAGACAGAAAGGTGGAGACTTTATAACCAGCAACAGGATAGAGGATGGATAAGACAAAGGACAACATTTACATACATTGTAAGCCACCCAGAGTCTTTGGAAGTGGGCAGCTATAATACATTTAATAAATTATGATTATGATTAAGGGAAAGCATTGGGAGTGAGCAAAGGAAAGAACCACACTCTTCCCCAACTTAGTGCTGTTCAGATGCTTTGAGACTACAAATTCACAGTCAAATTCTGGGCCTTGCAATCTCAATATATTTGGCGGGAGGGCAGATTTGGAAAGTCTATTCTACAATATTGCTAATTTTGAAACCCACTTGCCCCTTTCAGACTCCTGTGATGGCCCCTCCTCTAGATCTGGCCAAGGATATAAAAACAGAAACCTCTGAAGAGAAAACAGGTGATCAGATCTTGGAGGGGAAAGAGTGGGGGAGGAGCCAGGGCGGAAATGAAAGCTCAGAAATAATGGATTGGCTGAAAAAATTTGGGACTGTGCTGAAAAAGAGTCGACTCTACAGAACAGAATTAAGGAATACTAATAAAACCAGATCTTGAGTCAGCCTTATTTTCCTTTTAGATATGGTCCGTGGTTGGTGCGTGGTCCATGGAATGGTGTTGTACCGTCCAGCATCCAGCTGGGTTCCTCTATTGCTCCGCGGAGGCTTGGTGTGTGTCCAGGATGGAGAAAATCTGGTCCCTTTTCACCTTCCTCCATTGAATATTTCTGTCCCTGAGGGATTGTTGGACAACTATGTCTGCAAGGACTGTGTGCTCAGGTAAACCTGCCTACTCTCCTTGTAGGTCCTCAAGAATGGAAAGTGTGCTGCTGATGGTGCTGTTCTCAGCATCCTTTCTTATTGTCTATGGGTGCAGCTGCAGCTATTGGGACTTCTAGTTTAGTGCCCTGCTCTTTAGTGCCTTCCTGATTTATTGTCACAGGAACCAAGAGAAACCAAAGAAATGTACCTTGTGCCAACAAATCCAAGGGAAAGGTAGTACAGCTTATTTATCCCAGAATTTTTTCAAGAACCTTTCCCCTTTGGTGAAAAGCACCTCTTCTTCTTCACTTCTTGCAGCTGGTGGTTCTAAAGAAAAAAGAAGGTGAGTTACATGTTTATGGAACTGCCAATCTCCAGAGTATTTGTATGGGGATTATAATGATAAATACAGTAAGCCTTGAATTAATGGGGGAAGTGCCTATTAAATATGAATTTATGTATTTGCATAAATTATTCCATTTCCATAATTATATAATATGTATTTTATGTCATCTACATATTTATTCAAATACATACATTACATCACTTTTTGGAAACAAGAGTTTGACTATTGTTTGGAGGTAAGTCCAAATTAAAATGTAGTTTATTATAGAGATTGGATCATTCAGTTATTTCTGAATCAGGAGTGTAGTTTTTAAAAAATATTTTTAGTGGGAAATTGAAATACATATAAGACATTGTTGGGCTCATGTTTTCCTTGTTTAATAATTAAAATAAGGATTTACCATTTACCAAAACAAGAATACCATACTTACATTTTCCTAACTATTCTTTACCTCTTTCCTACTCAATGGAACTTATACAGTGGTACCTCGGGTCACAAATTTAATTCGTTCTGCGACTCTGGTCGCGACCCGAATTGGTTACGACCCAAATCAAATTTTCCCATAAGGTTCAATGTAAATATGGTTAATCCGTTCTGAACTATATGTATTTTTTTTAAAAACCACAAAAATATGAAACAAAATACAGTACAGTGCAGTACAAAGAGAGAGCATGCTAACCTTGCTCAAGGCGACTTCTGGCGTGGAGGACAGGAATGCGGGTGGGGAGGGGATTATTGCTTGGAGGGAGAGTCCCCCTCCCTACAGGAAGCCACGACCACGTGTCACAGCAGGGAAAATGGCCGCGGATCCTGTTCGTCACCCAATGCGGAGTTCGCAGATGGAAGCAAAATTTTGCGAAAGGTGCTGTTCATGACCCGAATTGGTCGTGAACAGAAGCGTTCGTGACCCGAGGTACCACTGTATATGGATAAAAGCAGTTAGGATTGCAATCTCCAAGTTTGGAACTGGCATAAGTATCTTATCTTTGTACAAGCAAAATTGGAAATATCCTCAGTGCTAAAGAGAGAAAAGCACTGAGGTTGTTAGATCAGTGTTGGGCAATTACTAGCCTTCTAGGTATTGTTGATACGTAACTTTCAGCAAGGAGAGATGGCCTATTTCACATTTAAAAAAACAAAAACATATTAGGAAGTCAGTAACAACTCCAGTTGACACTGAAAGTTTGTTACTTACTACTCACTCCTTCCTCTAACCCCCTCCCCAACAACAACAGCATAATCTTTGCAGAGCTGGTGTATCCTACATGTTTTCAACCATAACTCTGTCTTCTGAAATGTGGGTAGAATAATGCTGCATGTTGTAAATATTGAAAAAGTTATCCTATCAATGTATGGAGATAACTACCCCTATGTTACACCATCTATTCTGTTACAATGAAAAAGTTATATTTTTGTTTGTTTGTCATTACAGTTTTATACTTCCAAACACTGAAGTCTCATAGTAATTTCCAGTGAAATCATAAAAACACGACTAATGAAATATATTAAACTAACAAATATTAAAGCCATCAACATTTAAAAACCTGTTCAACAAAACATTTTTTACCCTTCTGAAATGCCAACAAGGAAATCAGGTCCTTCAGTTTAATTACAAGTATAGAGAAGGCTCAGTCTCAGGTCATGAAGAAATGATCATTTGGTTCACCTATAGTTTAGGTGACCTGCTCCAGAGGACTTTATTGAACAGGGAGGTTGAAGATAATAAAGAAAATGATATCAGATGACCCTGATCTAAACTAAGTTGAGCTTAGATTAGCATTTTTTCTCCTGAAATAAATTTGCATACATAGGCACTGGAACATGTTTACATACAGGTAGTCCTCAATTAATGACCACTTGTTCAGCGACCGTTTGAAGTTATGGTAGTGCTGAACGAGGAGACTTACAACTGATCCTCATAGGTACAGCCATCGCAGCGTCCCCAAGGTCACATGATCACAATTTGAGCACTTGGCAACTAGCTTGCAATTATAACAGTCGCAGCATCTCGCAGTCATGTGATTTCTATTTGCAACCTTCACTGCCAGCTTCCAACGAGCAACAGGGAAGCTGGTAGGAGGTCGCAAATGGCGGTCACATGACATGCTTTATGACCACATCACTTAGCAACAGAGTTGCCGGTCCCAATTACCATCATTAAGCAAGGATTACTTATATCGAGATTGCTTTTAGGACATGATGGTATAGATGTATATGTTATCCAGGAGAGCACAGGGTATATAAGATTAGCATGTTCCAGATCCTCTCAGTGAATGTTTCTCCTGTCATAAGACTATTAAGGTTGTTCTTCTCCCCACTTAAAAGAAAGGAACAATAAGTCAGATTCTTGTTTTTATATACAAAAATAGTAAATAGAAAGGTCTTATTATACAATAGCTTGGAGGAATTACATTCCATCACTTAGCTAATATTTATTCTTCCACATCATCCTGTATCTGCAGAACTGTAGAGATTAAAAAACTATACCAGCCCCAAGAGGACCAGGCCTACGCCCAGCGGGTGAGTGTCAAGCGATGGCAGAGATTATTATGTCCTCAGTAGCAGCAAGGTGGTTCCACTGCTTGTATAGCTGCTTAGGTGAATTCACTACATCAGAATGTGTTGGTTTTAAAAGTGGTTGAAACAAATTCATGAAGAATATTAGTATTGGTTCACTAGGAAGATAATTGGGAATGTGTCCTTTCATTGTCTTTGTGGGCTTCCCATAGATACCTTGTTCATTATTGGGAGGCACAGAATGGAGGATATGATAGGACTTTGGTCCAATATTGCAAGGCTCTTGTGGGTTTCTCTTGTATTCCCAAACTTGACTGTGTCTCCTATGAGAAGATGTGTCTCAGATCAGCTATCCCTTTGCCAAACTTTTTCACTATTCTAACCAGTGATCCAGTCTGATTGATTTGCAGGTAGGAAAGGAAGAATTTCTGTGTAAGACATGGAGATAACTCATTTCCCAAAGCTACTTGGATGGCCTGATAATTGCATTGAGATGATCTTAAGAATTTATATTTAAATATTAGCCGCTTAGAACTGATGAAGCCATTTTTCCTCATGCAGGTGGATGGGATCCTTTCCCAAATGGCCAGGGGAGAACTTGGTATGGATCGAGCTTTGCGTCCTCTCCAGCCCCTGGTTGTCCATTCTCCAGCTCCATATGGAAGATGAGATGTTTGAAAATAAATTGTTCTCATAAGCAGAGAAGCAGAAGATCCAGGAAGTTCATGTGTTTAAGTACTTGTACATATATCTATGGGTGTTCATTAGGTTTTTATTCGCTCTATTGTAATAAAGATTGCTTGTAAACATTGGGATTATTCTCACCACCATATCTGAAAAGGAGGGGGCTTTACATTCTGTCCGTTTCCATACACATCAAGCTGTTCTCAGTCCACCATAGTGTTATAGGAAACATGTAAATATTCCATTGAAATTCAATAGCTCAATCAGTTTTGAAAAACATAAAGTAATAGTTCCATTCTATTCTGCATTTGACAGATCTCATCTTTAGTCTTGTATCCATTCTGGACACCACCCTTTAGGAAGAATTCAGACAATGAGAATGGTGAACAGCCTGGATATTGTATCTTTAGATGGGATAAGAAAACCAAGGATGTTTAGTCTTGAAAAGACTGAGGACAGCATATGATAGCATTTTTCAAGTACCTGAAAAGTGGGGAGAACAGTCAAACAGAAAAAGACTGTGACCAATTCTGTCTTGTCCCATTATGCAGGATACCGAATAATTAAATTCCTTAAATTACAGGAAGGTATGTTCCGTTTGAATGTTATGAAAAACTTCTTAACAGAGATGTTTAATACTGGAACAAATTCTTAAAGGTGGTGTAGACTCCCCTTCATTGAATGTCTTCAAACAGAAGCTGTGAAGAATCCTGCATTAAGCAGGGGTTGGACTCAGTGACCTAAATGCCATCTTTTGAAAGCCACTCTAGTTTTGTTTTCTAGTCCCAAATGAAGGAACAGCTTTCCACTATCCTGATAGCAAAAGCTGAATATATAGACTATTGTTTATTTTAAAAGTGCCCATGCTGCTTTTAAAAATAGAGTTTTCCCAAGGCTGTGTATAAACATTTTAAAATCACAGTGTGTGATCCATTCATAGACTTGGTGTGAACGAATTCTGAACTTTTGTATTTAGGCTGATTGCACTGAACTCATCTCCTTCCACACACACTTCTACTTTATTTGAGCTTCCTTCATTTCAGCATTATAGTTTGGAGAAGGGGACAGACCCATGCAGTTACTAGTATTGTTAAAGGAAACAAGTGAAAAATCCTTACTGATCTTCTACGGATTACCCAGAGGTCTTTTGTCCATCTACCTTTGAAATTATAACTTCTTATTTTACTGTCTCAAACCCTGGCAAACTATTTATCAAGCCAGGTTTTATTACTCCAGGTTTCTATAGCCTGATCTCATCCAGATGTGTCAGACAGCTCCCAGAAACCCCATTGTAGCCAGATCTTAAGGAATTCCAGTTACCATCTCTTTATTTTGATAGGCTATGGCTGTAGGTCACTTGAAATTAGATGTACATTAAGAGATGGAAAGAGATTAGGAGATATGTCTCTGAGCTTTGGCAAGAAGGGTATGCTGTACTACTGAGGTGTGAGTTTTTCCTAACTGAATATTTTATCACACAAATCATCAACTATTGTTTTCTTTCCTCTGTTTATTCCACTGGAGCTGGTCTTTGCTGCTAGCTTTGTTTCATCCTTTCAGAAATAGATAGGAGCGCAAGTGCAATTTTGTGAAAGGGTAGAATTTGCTGACAATACTGAATTCCATACTCAAGAAAGCTCTGCTTTTTATTTCACTCCCTGGCCCCTGAGTCTGTAAACATATTTTTGGAAGTATATATACCTTGGCCAATGGCTAATAAATACATGAAAGGAAGGCTAGATTTCTTTCCCAAATATTTGACCTTTAAAATGGGAGAGCTGTCGTAGGTTCACTGAGACTGCAGTAGTAGATGTAAGCAATATTTTTCTGTCTTCTACTTATGTGGGGGAGCGAGATGTCTTAAATTCAGGGATGCCTTTTGAAACACATATAATTGCAAACCGCTAAGTAGATGTTGAGTATGTGTTTAAGGGATTTCTAAATTGCCCAACAACCACATTGAGGTGGTGTGTGTAAATCCATTAAACAAAATGATACGAAGCAATAAAAGCAGCAGAATGATCCCAATAAATACCAACAGCAGTAATAAATACAGCAGATAAAATAACAATAAAGCCACAAAAGCTTAGTATTGGAATAGTTGCCCCCAAGCTGCCCGGGCAGTCTGCAGGGCCTTGAATGAGGTACACCAAGCTCTCCCTTTTTAATGGAGAGCCATTCCATGCAGAAGATAGCAACGGCTCTCCATTTCATCTTTTGTAGAGCACTTCAATCTTTCTGTGTGGAAAACCATGATGATTTCTCACCTTGTTTTCTACAGAAAATTGGGATGAGGTCAGGGAGCAGACATTTTGTTGATAGGGTAAGGATTCCTTCCCTTAAACCCTGTTCCTGATATCTAGCTCTTCACGACAGTTGGCAGGGGCTGTATCTGCCATTTAGATTAGATTGAGTTCCCCATTTTAGTCTTATATGATTGATTGATTAATTATTTTGTTACTAGCAAAGGATAAGTTTTTAACCATTCACTGCTCTTGCAAATAATTATTTTCTAAATGTATGAATGATCATAAAATGTAGTTCTTGCTGTTTCCATTATTGTATAGTTATAGTAGTTCACTATCGGCTGTGAATATCCTTTAATGCAATGAGAATGAACGCAGATTCTGGTCTCCGAGAACTTATGCCATTCATTCATTTTTCCTGAATGAGGCCCGAAAGTCTGGCCTCTCTCATAGAGAGTTCCTCAGCTTTGCCTTAATCATTTCCAGAGGCAAAGGGTGGACATCCATAATATAACTGTAGAAGAAAATGTCAAGATAGTTCCAATCTCTAAAATTATCACTAAATGGCCACAGTGATATTCTGAGTTCCTGGGGATCTGAAAGGCAGACCTGAGAACAGATCTTGACACAAATATAGGAGTGGGTCACTGGAAAATGCTACACAGGGAAGTGAGGGAGGAAAAAGAAAATCTTTAAGAACATGACAAACTTCTTTTAAGCTTTGATCTTTGGCTTTCAAATCTGCAGTAGCAAGTATGCAGATCAAAATGCCAGCTGACCTCCTGAGGAATCTCTTCCAGTGACTGGGCCTGTGGAGAGGAATATGCAAGATATGAGGATTGCTGGTAGAAATTTTCACTGTCTTTTTCCTAATACTGGTGCCAGCAGTCTGATTTGTGTCATGGCTGCCTTTTTTTTTTTTTTTTTTTTGGTGAAGAAACAAAACAACGTATACTCTCTTTAGCCTTTTCTTTCTATGCAGGAAGCTTAAGAAGCTAATCCTTCTTCTGAGCCAATCCTTACGATATGATATTCCTCTTACAAAGAATACCAAAACCTATCTTACTCCAACACTTTGTTTCTCAGAGTGGCTAACCAGATGCCTCTGGACAGCTCACAAGCAGGAGATGCAGGCACACTGCCCACCCAGGACATAGTATTGAGGCTTCAAAACCTAATAGCCCTTGTTAGACCTGTCCCCCGTGAAGGTATCTAATTTTCCTTTTTAAAACCATCCAGGTTAATGGCCATCACCACATTTTGCAGGAATCCACTGTGACTTTTAAGTTCTTTTTCCTGGATAGTGATAGATAGCTCAGAGCTCAGAGCCCATCAGTGTATTTGTGAAATTACAGCAGGGGCACCAGGAAGAGGTTGCCCCAGTGTGTGTCACTTTACACTTAACTTATTTCCATTCCACTGTATTTGCCACTTGATTGATGATTCACTTTTTCTGTCAGAGTTGTGCTCTTTTTTATTCCCACTAGGGTAGGCTTTCTACTTCCTGAAGGAAGATTTCTTCGCTTTTACAGTGCCCCAAACTCTTAGCAAAGCCATGGTTGACCCTTTCTTGAGCAAAGCCTCAATTATTGTGGATTTAAATAATCTCCATTTACCCTCTTGACTTTTCTCTGTCTCCTTTTCTTTTTCTTCTTTCCCTTTATCATCAAGCCATCTGGGACTATGTTGTATTATGATGGCAATTTCCCACTTGCTTGTTTGCTGAATGTAGTAGTATTGTACTAAAGGTTTCCTATTGATTCCACAACACTTCCATCTTGCATCAGATCATGGATACCACTTAGAATTAAATCTGGGGTTGCCCATTCCCCCCCCACCTCCAGCCAATTCCAAGGCCATTCAAAAGTACAGTCATTTACAGTGTCTAGAAATTTGTTTTCACAACCAGGTAATATAATTCCCCCATCTTGATCTAGAGACATCTAAGACTGGCAAAGAAACACATGCATACTGTGTTCTTTCTCAAGTGTCCCCTTTTTGTCTCCTGATTATAATATCCATCTCTTAATCTATTTCTAATGTGGCCATATCCCTTATGATATTTTCTGAAACATCTACTCCCTTCCTAACTAGATGTTGCCCAACACTGGTCAGCTATCTCTGGAAGAAAAAGAACAATCTTTCTTTCTTTGAGCAGCAATACGAAGATTTTTAATAAGTATATACACACTAAAGCATTCTGGTCATCTTGAACGCTGGCAACTGTTATGCAATAGCATTTGTGAGTGGACTGTAGTCCACAGCAGGTATATAGGAAGTCATCCCTTGGCATCCATTTCATTATCTGCCCACCTGACCTTTAAGTTCTTTAAATAATTTTAACTAATTAAATGGAAAGTCTGCATGCTGCAAGGCAAAAAGCATTCTCCAGCATCACCCTTATTTTCAAGAATGCTTTTAGACCTCATCAGTGTTCCTAGGAAATAGAAACAGTGGGTGGTTGCAAACACTAGTATTACCTTGCATTTGTTTAATAAAAGACACAAAAATCATGTATGAGTGACTTTCCATTCTTCTACATTATCACCAAGTGCTTCTACAGGTAATTGGAAGACCATCCACAATCCTCTTCAAACCAATCTCAGTACTCTAACCACAAGAAGTAAACCACAAGAAGTAAAAATTCTGCTGTGCTATGAACTGTCTCACATCCTGCACTTCACACCCTGTTCCATACATAAAATAAATTACTTGCACACACAAGAGTTCTTTATATCTGTCTCAGTTCTCTACAAGTTCATCTTGTTTCATGGCAATGGATAATTTCTGCTATCGCTGATACAAACAAAAAATCAAGAACTCAGTTTCTAACCTTTATAAGGGAAAAGTTGCTTCATTGCTATAAACCATAATGATGT